TATACCAGATGCGTGTCAGCTAATAAAACTGCTGGATGATTTCCCCTTATTTATTGATGAATTAGCACAGATATTAAAGTTTGTTCAGCTCTTTGAAGATGAAAAATATTACTGGGGAAGAGAATAAGCAAAAATTTAACACAATGAAATCATATGTTTGTCACTTATTGTTTAAAGAAGGAGGGGTGATATTTTTCAGTGACTAGCAACCCACAGGATTTAGATTATTCACAGGGAAAGTGAAATACAAAATGCCAGCCAAACACTTCAGAAATTGTTTTAATTATTTTAGAAAGCTTAACAGTGTCCTAAATGACAGAAGCAGTCAGGAAGTAAATATAATTCTATTCTCTCAACAAACATCTGGCTATGGCTTTGCATTAAATTAAACTGGCAATTAATTTAGCTCGGGTATCAAAGATCTGCCCCGTGGAGCCCTATCATCCAGCCTACAATGTAGTCTGTGGGTCTCAGATTCAAGGAGGATTTGATTTAAATCAAATTGATTTAAATCACTGGTCAGGAAGCCTCGAATTAATCATTGTTTTCTACCTAAAAAGTGCATTCTTGTTGCTTGATATCCTTTATTCATTTAACTTCTTGAAACTATGCACTTTTAGAGATGGGTAAGGGCGTGACTCTCTGTACACAAACTTGCAGAGAGACAAGAGAGCTGATGGGTAGGTAATCAGGGCCGCTATCTCTCATCTCCATATACTGCTGTTAACAAGGATGTTATTTCTGGAGAGACAAATCCACAGTTTGAAACTATGCATCGCAGAGATGCTTAATGGGATGAACACTGAGTCTCATTGGGTAGAGTGGCTTTCTTTAATCTAATCTATAAGAGAAGCCTCTGGGAACCCCATATGATTGGGCCCCTAATATAGTCCATGGCCTGTTGTGACCTATCTATAAAACTTTTCTAAAAGGGTTACATGAATATATGGTCTCAAACAGTATATAATTAAAAGTATATAAATTAAAAGTTATAATCCCTATAGTATATAATCAGAATTCTATGATGACATGTTTGAGCTTTAACATATCTTAAATTAAAGCTATCTTTATATAGGGTTAGTTTTTCAAAAAAAGCATCTTAAAAATATATATATATAAGGAAATCTCATTTAAATATAAAATCCAATTTTTAATTTTTCTTTAAATAGTTGATTTTAATCCACCCTGCTCAGATTGGACCCATGTACTGCACGTGGCACATAACGACTGGTCCCAGATGCCTGCTGCCACTGCCATATGGGGCTAGTCTCAGGTGCCACTGAACCAGCGCTATGCACTTCACTCAAAATGGCTACATCCCTCTCTGAACTTTCCATTCACACACCCACAGAATACCTGATTGCCTCTGACCATCCTTCTCCAGCTGTCACTCCATGGTCCTGCCTAAACTACATAATGAGATTACAATAATCCATTTACTGCTTGGTTCACTTGAAAAATCAAGCACAGAGAGATCCAGGAGGAGGAAAAGGAGGAGAAGAGAATCAGACTGAGTCAGCTGATATTTGTAGCAGAAACATGGATGGTGAATTCTGAGAACAGAAGCCAGCAGTTTTGCCAACAGTCTGTATATTTACAGACAGTCAATAAAAAAACAGGCTAAAACACCTATCTAAAGCCTATAAAAATGGAGCCCTCCATAAAAAAAAAAAACCTAAGCAAACATGAGCTTGATTGAAGCTTTGTCTCTAAACAAGGATGGATGCTGAAGAACAGACAGAACAGAACAGTGTCACCTGGCATGAGTGGGAGTGCAGCACCCTGCAGGGAGCATTCTCTCAAGGCTTTTTAGCCCCAGTGGCCCCCTCCCCAAGCCACATGCTGCTTCTACTGTGTCCCACTGCTTGCTTGTAAGACCACTGGGTCACAGGTAGACAAATGGTAGTCCTTCTTTGGGAATCTGTGCCAGAATAGGGAAGCAAGGCTGGTGGGGATAAGGCTGAGGGGGGCACCAACATGGTGCAGGGTGCAGGGGAATCAGGGTATAGGGGTGAGTGTGGAACCCCTGGAGTGGGGGAACATGGTGTAAAGCCACTGCTGCAGTCAAGCAGGGTTGCCAACCTCTTTTTTTTCTTTCTTAACTGATCTACACATTTTTATTTACAACAAAACTGTTCGGTGTTAAACCTCAAAATATGAACCCAGCCCTTGTTCAGGACCTGGCAAAAGGGTTACATTTACATTATATAAAATATATGTTATTAAAAAATTTTGCAGACTATCAGTAAAAAGTTTGCAGACTCAGTAAAAACCCTGGAAAACATTAACTGAAGGGGAATTTACTGCATGTATCCAGACTGCATATTTCATTACAGTATTAATAGCAACTTGCAGTTGTTGCCCCCATTAACTGTTAACTATACCTTAGAGACTAAAATTAAGCTATAGTCACAGACTTGGACTAACAGAATTCTGAGGTTATCAGTCTGAGGATATTTGCTGTAAATTCAGGCTTGAACTCCGTATATACCTAAATACTGCTACTAACTTGTAAGCAGAGAACATATTCCAGGCATTGTTTAATCCCTCACTGTATTTTCATATCTGGATCAGCATTTATGATGGCCATCCTTCACTATCCTAGAAGATATTCTGTAAGGTCTCCCTGTGCACAAATGCACTTATTATTTCCTACCAAGGCTAATCAGAAATTCTAAAAGTGTTGTTATGTGTATGTTGGGCACAAAGTTAGATGAGAAATACACTTACATCTCAAGTGTACACACATTTACATTAATTCTCTTGACAAGCAGAAACCATCTGTGGCATTCTGACAACTGGACAGGACAACTACTTGAAAACAAGGGCTCAATGATTTATTAATTTGACTGGTAGGCTCTGTGTACACACTTACCTCCCAAAGTGCCCAAAATTATAAATTAGCTGCAGAGGAGGTTCCCTAGTAGACTGCAACAGTAAATAAGCTGACCTTCAAGAAATAAAATATATCTAAAGCAAAAATTTTCACCAAGAATAAGTCATGGCTACTGAAGGTTCCAGTTTATTTGCTACTACTTTGGGAGTAAGGGTCAAAAGTTGCAGCCTTTAACATGTTAAATAAATGTGACTGAACGAATGACATTTTTATACATGCAAAGAAGACTAAGATAGCTACTTATCAAACCCAGACATGGATGTTACAAGCCTGTGTGTGTGAGTGCACGAGTGTGTGCACAAGGGCTTGTGCATGAGGAGGCACATGCACAAGAATGTATGCTCACATGCATTTGTGTAAGAGAAATTAAATTCACAGAACAACTCATGATCTGAATTGCATTTTCTCTCTCTGACCCTGAAAGGGCTGTAATCACTAAGTGTAGCTGGCTAATGCAGAGCTTATGCAGCTCATAAAGAACGTTTTTTATGACATTCTGTTCCATATTGAAGAAAGAAATGAACTCATGTATGTTGTTAGCAATTTTCATAGACTAGGATAAACATCAAATTCTTTCAGCTGAGACATAAAACCACCAAGGAACTGACCATTTGCGGGCAAGAAATAGTCATGGTATGAAGTGTTAACTCCACTGTCCTGGACAAATTCCAGTTTGGCTAATTACATTCAGCCTTCTTAAGTTCTCTCTGCAGTTTCAAGGGGATATGGTATATTCCTGTTTATTTATACTATAGAGTTACATACTGCTATGGTGTGTTGCTGTACAATTTCAGTGTTACACACCAGAAGTGGCTGAATTTTTTATTTGGGGAATGACCCTGTAGAGCACTCTAGGAGCCTGTGGGATAAAAGAATAAATGTGCAGTAATTTTTCTAACTATACCTTGGGGAGCAAAGGAATGGGAGGTAAATATCACAAGGGCCAAAATGTCCCCCCACAGTGAAAGCTATTTCCACTGTAGTGAATGGGCAGTATAATAGCAAAAGAGCTAGGAAAAGGCCATTTCTAGGTCCTTTAATTCCAAAGCTCCCTTTTGTCTTCTACAATGAAAAAAAAGCTGCGTGTTGGAGGATTCTTTCTTCATAAAATCAATCCAAATAGGACTTTAAAATGTTCTGATCCTCTTAATTTTCATTATCTGCCTCCTTCAATCTGCATCATAAACACCTGCAAGCGTCGTGCTCACCTACCAATCTTCCTAAGAATACGTAGCAATCATCTTGCACTCCTTCAATACTCAGAGGTCACTCACCATCCATCTACGGACATTAATATGAGAAGGCTAATCCTAAATTTTCTTTTGTGTTGCTGAAAATGGTCCCAATGCCAACTTACTAGCTCAGCGCTTGGAGAATACTTTAGATAGAAAAAAAAAGTAAAAATGTGTCTTTATATTTTGACACTCAGAATTGTGAGATGAATTTATTTTCAGGATTCTGCAGTAGAAGAAAGCAGAACGGGGATGTGTGGTGCAACATGTAAATCATTATATTAGCACTTCTTCCTGATAATGCTAGGTACAAGCGACAAGGGAAGTCAGTCTGTTTAATTAAAAAGAAAAAAAAAACAGCAACACATTCAAGTTGATTGTTACGTACTGTGCAAAGGAGTTGTAGGCTAGAATATCAGGGAGAGCATCCATTCCTTGAACTATGTGGAGAATGAAAATAGTACAAGAAAACTGCAAGCTAGAATGGAGGCGGTATTTCTGCAGACTATGGAAAGGAAGGCTGGAGAGCTTACCTACATTATATGACATGTGTCATTGTTATCACTGTAGTTTTCCACTTTTAAGGGCACTGAGTTAAACACAAAATTTAACAAAAACAGCCAAGTGAAATACAAACATAAATGAAATATAAAAATAGCACAGACTAAAATTTGCATTTGACAATCAGGCTCAAAAAGGCTTATCAACGATTTTGGTCAGCTGCCATAAAAATATATTAATTGTATCTGTACCAATTACAAATACCACAAACATCTGTGGAACAATATTACCCAGTTTCATAGCACATAGCTCAGCGAGTTCCTGCGAGCATAAAACTTTATGACTAAGCCATAGGAATTTATTCTACTTACAATAGCTGGGGGATCGTTCCATTCTTCATAAGATATGGCAGCATATGGGTAGATCCTGTCATTGATAATCTGAAGGGTCGCCAAAGCAATTGCTTTCACTGACCGAAAATAAGCTTCCCAGAACCATCTTGCCTGCAACGAAAGAACAAAATGCATTTTCAAATCCTGTACCTCCAGAGACCTGATGTCTCACAATCAGTTTTCATTTGTCATACACAATCTGCTCAATGACAAATCAGGTGGAAATGAAATGAGGCGGCAGGTTCTTGGGACCTAGCAATGTTTCCACAGAGCCCAGAGACTTCAGAACATTGCAGCCAAAAAATTAAGAGGAAAACATTTCACTGCATCTGTGGATATATGACTAGAAAAAGACTCCAAGCAAATACTTGAAAAGGCCAAGTTTCTTTCATACTTATCACCAATTTTATCCCCTCAAAATGTCAAAAGTAGTCTAACCACAGCATACGGTAATTTATTGTTCTATTTGGTTTCTCTAATTCAGAGGAACTCAAGTGCAGCCTGAAAGCCAATGGAAATCATAGAGTTTACTTCTGGGTCTTTCAACTGCAGCATGAGGAAAAGCTGACACACTGTTTCTACTGCTGGTAAACTCCATCAAACAAGCTAACTTCTATTCATCTACAAAGGAAATAATCTGCTGTTGTGGTTCAGTGGTAGAAACACTGCCATCTACGAGACCTGGGTTCAATTCCCAGGCTGGCATATAACTACAGCCATCAAGGCACTGAATGTCTAGACTTGGTCTGGCCACTGGATAGAGGCTCAGTGGCCTAAAGGAGGATGGAAGGTCCAGGCGGCCTCCACCCCTCCATACTCCTGCCTAGCCGTATGCGTCAAAGGTCCTGGTGACTTCTGTCACATACGCTATGATTCAGGAGCATCAATAGTCGCCTATAAAGGAAACAGAAATGCAAGCAAATAGTAACACTTATTTTGAAATAAAAATGTTTGTAGATGCAAATTAGTTGCAGTACTTTTTCCTGGCAATTTTACAACACAACCATGGGGCTTGTATGAAGTTGAATGCTAATCTGAAGCTCTTTTAAAAACAAATGTGACAGTCAAAGAGAAAAATATACAGACTTTAACAGATGAGTCATCTCTAGGCTGAGACCATGCATGACAAGTTTCAATACCGATCCAATTTTTATGCAATGAAAACCCCTGGGTGCAGGGTTTGGCAATGAATGCATTCACTGAGGTGATTCTGCATTAGACGCACCCCCACGGTTACTTTTTGAAAAACAAAGGTCATAAAGTGATCCCCAAAACCCACAACCAAAACAAAGGGAAACACACTTTGTCAATAATCATAGTTCAACTATGCTGACTCAATAAAAGAGAATTTCCTGGACTTAATTGTTTCTGCAGGGATCTCCAGCACCTTGAAATATCTAGAAGGTAACTCAATTTAGGATTCCCCTAAGGTTCAGTATCAGCGTGCAAGAGTATGCAGGCCTGAGTGGTAATACAAGTGAAAGGCAAGACATTTTCAGATGCACTAGCTGTACAAGAAGCTTGCAGAGCTAGAAAACAAAATTAAGGATAACACACAGAGCTGGAATAGTGCTATTTTATGCTACTGGACACTTTTTATGCATGCAGAAAGGCCAGCTTTAATGATAAGCTACCACATATGAGATCTTCCTTGGACAATCCTTTGTGCTGTTGTCCAATGCTAAACAGCTGGTACATTCCAACTTACACGTGGATGTTCTTTGGTACAGGAAAAAGTGATTCCTGTAAGCACAATTTGTAAAGCCCTTTGGGATTCTTCAACTGAACAGCAGTATGTACTAATATAATCAATCTATGGTTTTACTGCTACAGGTGGTGAGGATACAAGCTCATATGCAGACTCATTGCTGTTCCCAAGTAACAGCACCCTTCCGTGCATTGTTTTGAGTATTAGCTACGTGATTTAAAAGAAAATGGGAATATGCTGCCAAGTTCTTATCCTCAGCACTCCACTCTACAGGCAACTTGTCAATCAGATTCTTCACTTTTATATTTCAGTATAAAAAAACCTTCAATAGTACAAAAAACAATCAGTCCTTTACTCAGCAAAGAAGTGATTATAGAATGAGGCAATGACAGCTTCACCTAGAGCATTATTTTTATCCTATTACGTGGAGGGAACAATAATCACACACCTCACAACCTAAGAACATTCAAAAACTTATATTCAAGAGGCAGGTGGGCTTGTACAATTAAATTTTTAACAGCACTTTTCACCTGGAGAGGACCCAAAGCACCTTGTAAGCGAAGGCCAAATCATTTCATACACCACAGTTGTTTCTTGGTTAGAAGTTTCCAGCTGGATAAAAGGCCAAAGCAACACTATAACAGAATGTAGGGTCCAAAAGAAAACTGCACACCCAAGTCCGTGAACAGATATATATCTGAAGTGCTGCAAATTCATCTCTGACTTGGAGCAGTTGGGGCACTCAGTCTCTGATCTTCCAGTTCCAGAGCCTGAAGATCATACAAAGAATCATTTTTTCCAGCCTTAGCTGGACTACTTAGCTCAGGCTCCAGAGATTTCTGAGGATGGCAGGAACTGGGAGACAAGAAGTTTCACCCCCCTCCCTCCACTGGAACTGGGAGACATGCAGAGACAAAAGCAGGGACTTCTGCTCTCCAGTTCTAGGGGTTGGAGAGATTGCCATGGACACTGAAGTGCTCAGAAACATTCACTGGCTGTCTGACAAGACCCTGTCATATTCAGTGGACCTCACACACATAAATGGAAGTGCTTCAAAATTTGTATTTCAGCTGGGGTCATGTTTGGAGCACTTTAGCCATTTTTAGAGCACTTCTTAGGACATGTATGTCTGTCCACTTGTCATTTGCTTCAAATGTGAAATCTGTCCAATGCCTGAAAGTGGAGAAATATTATGAAGGTAACTGAAGCAATTAGAGGAATTTGTTCCAAAATACTTTACAAACATTGAATAATCCTCACAGCCCCCATAAGCCAGGACAAAGTATCCCCGTTTCACATACCTGAAATCAATCATAGAGATGCAAAGTAACAAGCGACTTACATAAGAACCCAAACAAAAACCAGGGGCAGAAAAAAACCCTATATCTGACCCAGAAGTCCTTCTCTTCTGAAATCTTTAACAACCAACTAGTCACAGGTTTTATATTTCATCTGCCCACTGACAGTTTAGCAAACCAACATTGTAAAAGGGAAATTAATTGCTAAAAAAAAATTGTATATAGCCTCTGGATGTACAATGGCAGCAAGGGTTAAATGCCAAGCAACTGTAGCATCCTGTGCTATTTCAGTGTCACTAAGTGGTAGAGCATACCATTTCCCTTAATTCAGTGAATTTTTATTGGTACAGTTTGATTTGTGATTGTTACCTCTATAACCAACCCCTCTAGACAAATACAGATAGACAGGATCTATATAGACCTTCTCTCCCTCCTGTTGGCTGCAGCAGGAATTAATCTCACACAGCTTCCTTTTGCTGCAAGAATGTTTGCAATGTCAGGCAGAGTTACATCCTCACACCAGAAACAAGGCGGGAGAAGAGGGCGGAGGGAATTTACTCTTTATAGACTAATATTTATGTAATTATTAATTTTGGGGAAAGAGCTAGAAAATGTTTCCACACTTGGTTGTAATTCTTCAGAGTTGTGTTTCTTTAAGGCAGAACTCAAAACCTTCTAAGGGGATTGCAAGTCTCCAAACAGATGTTTCAAGGTCTCATTACTTCCTTCCCACCTTGTTTGCTTTTATAAAACAGAACTGATTACCATGAGTAGCTATTCCCTCCTATCCAACATGGTAAGTTACTGAGCATATGAGGAACAATTTTCTACTAGGGAGCATTTTTTCAATCAAAATAATTTCTACTCTACAGCGTATGCAAGTGTAAAGTTTGCATTACCAAGACAAAAGAAAGAATAAGAAACTAGATCAGGAAGACACAGCCAGTCACGTAATAGCATAGTAACTTGGTCTGGCCACAAAACCAAAAAAAAAATCAGAAAAGTTTGAGTTGTACTCTTGGCTCTAATACCAACTCTCTCTGCACCTTTGGACAAACCACTTCAATGTTCTACTTCTGTTACCTCAACTATGAAACTGGAAGACTAATTATTGCAAAGTCAGCGTGTTTTTAGTATATTGGTTCGTGCCTGTATAGTACCTCAGATCTAAGAGGTACTACAAAATGACTGTATTCAAAATGCTTAAAAAATTGTCCCCCACCAAACCCTTGAAAACCACCGTTACAAGACAAAACACACCAAAAACATCTTACGCCATGCTGGCATGGCAGATAAAAATAGGGGAAATAAGGACAATGCCATGTTATGGCATGCCACTATTGAGACAGAGAAAAAATTAGTGGAGATATACTTGGGAGTTAAAATACATCTAGGAAAAGAAGCATGCCTCATGCCATAGAAAAAGGCAAAACCCATACAGTCATTGCCAATCTCACATGCGGGTGGGAATCCTTCCTGACTCCAAATTAGCGATTAGTATGCCCCTGAGCATAAGGGCAAGACCCTATAACTAGGAACCTACAACATTTTTAAGTATTGGCAGGAACACCAGTAAAAACATCTCGACTTAGCTATGACCAATGTTTAATACTTCAGAGGAAAGCCAAAAATACTCTAGAAACCAATAAAACATTCATGAAAGAAAAATATTCTTTCCTAGCCCCTACAGACAAGCTCTCAAGCATATGATGGCCAGATTCCTCCTAGAGAAAGTTTCCTTTCAGCCATAACGCTAGGATTGCAATCCTTGAATCCATACATCATATGCATTCATTAGAAAGCCCCAAACACCAAAATCTAGCATACTATTCCAGTCAAACTCTTCAGTTCCATCTTGAAGTATTTCAGCTTCTTTGCCTCATCTGCTCTGCTCAGCAGACCATTTCAGGACATCACTCCTCTTATTAGTTAGAAAACTCCTAATTTCTAACCTAACTTCTAAACAATGAAGTTGTAGTCATAAAATCTTTAGTCTAAGCTGAAAGGGTCTTTAGCCTAAGCTCTCCCCTTCCACAATATTCGCTATGATTTATAAAATGTAACCATATCCCCTCTAAATTCTTGCTAAACAGAACAAGCCTCTA